CCCTGGACAAGCCTCCCCAGTGTCCACAGCTCCCTCTGCTCCAGGGAGGGGGTCCCCCCAGCTTGGCCAAGGTTTTACCCCAACCTCACAGTAAAGATTCCTTTTGGTGCCCCTCGTGGCCCCTTGAGGGCTGGCGACATCTCTCAGTCCTTTTTTCCCGTATGTCATGGCTGTCTATTGTGTGGGGACTTGGTCCAGTCAAGGGGAAGTCCAGAGGGCTTCCTGGAGGATGAGGCTGCTGGGATCCAGAGTGGGGAGAGTATCCTGGGGCACAGGAAGAGACCCCAGCTTCACGGCCCCGGGCTGGGGAGTGCATTCCTGGCTCTCACCCAAGTCAAGTGGGCCTCAGACTCTCAGCAACAGGTCATGAGCTTTGCCCAAGAGCCAAGGGCAGCAGTGCGCGCCCCCCCCACCCCAGCCCATGTCTCCCAGTCCTGCTCTATGTTCTCATTTGCTTCCTGTGTGGCTCAGTCTCCCGGGCTCTCTCCTTCCTTCTGCCCTGCAGCAGCAGGGAGCTGACACAAACACTGGCCAGATCTGGGCCCGAAGAGGCAACAGGAACGTGAGGGCAGAGACCGTCTGACCCACTCAGCCACCCAGCGCCCTCATGCCAGCGTGCCACCGCACTGCCACCTCCTTTCCCACACCGTCCCATGCCCCTCAGTCCTGGCCCTCTGCGTCGCTACCCCCACTTCCCACCTGGGTGCTTCTGGGGTTGCGTCACCTCCACCCCGAGTTTCCAGGCAGCTGGCCTCCTCCAGCTGGGTGAGGGCGTCCGGGTCTGCACATGACCAGCCCCAGCCTCCAGTGCTCACTTTCCCCTTTCACCTGCCCCACCTGGCTGCACCCTCCTCCTCCAGGGAGCAAGGCTGGGGGCAGCGGGAGATCTGTAGAAGACTAAGGGCTTGGTGGGTCCCTCTCCACAGGTTCCTCCTGCATGAGCCACACAGAGGGCCTGGTGAAGTCCTCGGTGCCCACCCACCGAGAAGGCCGGACCGAGACACACGCAGCCAACAGTTCTTGGCCCTCCCCACATGCCCTCCCTGATCCCGCAGGGCGTCGGTCCGGGAGATGCTGTGACACCATGGTCAAAGCAACGGGCACTGGGCTCAGACAGAGCTCGGTTCAAATTCCACTTCTGCCACTTTACAGCTGTGTACCTGCCCTCCCAGCCTCCAGTTTCTCGAAAAATGGAGTAGAGCCGGACCCTCGTCTGGAAGGAGCCAAGAGAAGATGCATCTGTCAAGAGGGAAGGCGCCCCAGACAGTAGCTCCTCTGCTGAGCAGACCATGGAGACTGAGGAAGGTGGAGAGGCTGGCCCAGGCTGTGCCGTGGTGACCAGAGTCCCATTCCTTCTGCTTCGTCCACAGCTACCACATATCCAGAGCCCTGGCAGTGCCTGAGCCAGTCCCATGCCAAGCCGGGGAGCGGCTGCATCCCAGAGCCAGGCTGCCCATGCTTCCTGGCCAGGAGGCCCTTCAACCGCATCTTCCTCCTTTCCCCAAACTGCTCATTCCTTGTCCAACCAGCTGGCCGAGAGTCACACCAACCATGGGGTGCCAGGCCCTATGCGGGAGGGTGGGGACATGTGATGGCTGAACGCAAATCTGACCTGGGAGGAGCTAGGAACCTGGTGGGGGACACAGGCAGACAGAGGGGCAGGAGCCCCACCAATCGCCACTCAATCTGCCAAAGGCACTTTTCGGTGGGTGCCAAAGACCCTGAACTTTTCCATTCACTTCCAGAAATATCGTGACACTCGGCCCCAGTGGGCTACGGTGGAAGTCACTTCACTAGAGACCCTCAGGTTGGGGCATCAGGTTGGGGTGCCGACTCCTGGCCCCTCCCCTCCCTCGACCAGGCTACCCATACCACTGCTCCCCATCAAGACACGGGGCCCGGGGCTTCCACAGAGAACTATGAATGCCCAGAGCAGTGAAGTCAGGATATTCCCAACAGAGAGGCACAGGAAAGGGGTCTAGGAAGGGAGAAGCCCAAAGAGAAGGAATGAGGAAAAGGGAGGCTCCTCACTTGGCGAGGGCTAGGGGGCCTGTGTGTGCCCAGGAAGGGGCCGGAGGGGTGGTGAGAAAGGTGGGCAGACAGGCTGGGCGGCGTGAAATTCCTGAGCAAGCAAGCAGCCCTCCACCCCCAAGAGCAGGGTGGGATCCAGCAGGCCCCTCTCCTGGACTCCAGACTCAGCCCCAGCTGACCACTCTGGCCTGGCTCAAGACAACCATATCGTGACAGCTGGACCCCAGTGGGGATTAGGAGACGATGGCCTAGCCTCCGTCTCTCCTGCTTCCCCAGTGAATTCCGAAGTCTGTGGTCCACACACAGCTAGAAAGCTCTTTACCGGACCTAGATCGGACCCGCCTCTCCAGCGCTTCCTCAACCCCAAGTCATTTGAAAGCACAATAACCCCGCCCCCACCCCCGCCATGCACTCTGTGAACCTGGTCCGGCCTCATCGACTTCGCCTCTCCACTTGCCAGGGCTTGCTGGGGTGCGTCAGGCCCCTTCTCACCCCAGGCCTTTGTACATCGGACTCCCTCTTCTTGGAACGCTCCTCCTGCACGTCCCGGGACTGGCTGCTTCTCCATCAGGCCTTTGGCTAACGGTAGCGCGGCCCCCACCCCCGACCAGTACTCACTTTTTCAGCACCCTCTTTCTTTCTTTCACAGCACATACCGCCGCTCCCCATGATTTTGACTATCTCTTGTCCATCCCACCACCCTGTCTGTCTAGACCGGGAATAAGGGGGAGTTGTCCTGCAGGAGACATTTGTTATCGCAATTGAGGAAGAGCGGGTGTTTACTGGTATCTAGCGGCCGAGAGCCAGGCAGGCTGCTCCACATCCTACAATGTACAGGGCAGCCCCCCGCAGCAAAGAGCGACCCGGACCGCGTGGTCGATGGTGCGGAGGCTGGGGAACCCTGCAGCAGATGCCGATCACAGGAGAACTGGGACCGTGTTCTCCGCAGTCTCCCGGCGGCCAGAACAGTGCCTGGCACCCGGGCGGCTCGGGGAATGCAGGAAAAAGGAATGAGTAAAGAACGCGCGAGAACACAACGGAGCGAGGGACGGACAACTGACAGGCGGACGGACAGCGACGCAGACTCCGACCCCGACCCGGACCCGGACCCCGACCCCGACCGTCTCAGCCCCGCCCTCCCCCGCCCGACCCCTCGCCTCGCCTCGACCTCGACGCGCCCGATCCCGCCCCACTGCGCGGCCCCGAGGCGCGAGCTCCGGGTCGGGCGCGCCGCGGGGACACTCACCCGCCCGCGGCCGCCCGGGAGCGGCAGCACTGCCAGCCCGCTTCATGATGCCCCCTCGGCCGCCGGCCGGGAAAGGGACGGGACGCGCGAGCCGGAAGCGCTCGGCCGCTGCGCCCGCCGGGACTTGTAGTTCCCCACCTCTCGGGGCCCGGTCGGCTGCCTCACGCGCGGCATTTCCGAAACTACGACTTCCGGCGGCCTCGTCGTCGCGGGGCGGGATTGGCGGCTTCAGAATCACTCTATGTTGCAGATTGATGTCTGATTGGCTTTGCTCATCCGTCACTCACTGTTAGGCTTCACGGACTCTGCATAAGGGAGGAGCTTCGGTTCTGGGTCCGAGAGACCGCGGCCAAAAGAAATGCCACGGTACGATTGGTGGAAACAACGCGGTAGGGAGCGGGGCGTACCAGCGGCAGGGGAAGGCGGGCACTTCCGCCAGGATAGCCCAATGACAGAGGTGGGAAAGTTTCTATAAAAGCTTGAGCCTCGCGCACCCCCATTCTTTTGCGGTCGAGTGCGAAGCGGGAGAGTTGTATTAATGCGTACGCCATGTGCTAAGATCCAGGGAAGAACTGGGCCACGAGCGTGGTTTTGAGGGCGGCCTGAAAGCTGCAGGCCGGCCTGGTCCCCGGGCGTCCAGCCTTGGCCTAGGCTCCACTTTGTCCCTTAGTGTTTAAACGTTTCTTCCTGAATCTCAGACCCTCAGCTACCTGCAGGTAAGACTGGGCCGGGTCTGGGTTCCCCTATTCTCCAAGCCTGTGATGAATTGCTTTGACTTCTGACACCTCGTATGAAAAGTGCACTTGCAGTCTGATTATTTTGCAAGACTGAGGCTTGGGGGTGCTCACTCTTGACGGAGACAGGCTGAGAATGGAAACAAGTGTTGCCCGAAACGAGGGAGTGGGGACTTACGTCTACGTTTTGGCGTTGTCTGACTTTCAGGTCTCGTCGCCAGCCGGCTGCAAATTTTGAACCTAAGTAAACCTCAATCCGGAGGGCCGAGCGGTAAGGTGGGCGTTGTGGCGATTGAAGTGCTTAGCAATAAAGCAAAGGTAGTGAGTTGATTCGGTTTTCTCTCAAGTGTCTTTATTTTCCTATTCTTGTGGCACCCCGGAGGTCTGGCTTATCCACAGGCAATCTTGGGAAAGTGTACAGACATGAAAACGGAACGGAAACTCGTTACCAGTGACTTTCCATCTCTTGGGATTGCCTTCGCCATTTCTGCCCGTAATTTTTTTTTTTTTTAAGACAGTTTAACTCTTGTTTCCCAGGCTGGAGTGCGATGGCACAACCACCGCCTCAAGCGATTTTCCTGCCTGAGCCTCCTAAGTAACTGGGATGACAGGCGCCTACCACCATGCCTAACTAATTTTGTATTTTTAGTAGAGACGGGGTTTCTCCGTGTTAGGTTGGTCTCAAACCCCTGACCTCAGGTCATCCACCCTCCTCAGCCTTCCAAAGTGCTGGGATTGCAGGTGTGAGCCACCACACCCAGCCAAATACTGTTTTTCATGCCTTTGCCCCAGGGTGAGTCCAAAAAAGCCTTTGAGATCTGTGGAGGGAAGTTGACACCACCTAGGGTTCCCATGTTCCTCTCCAGGGAGGCCTCAGCCATGGGGGAGTGATACCCACACACCTGCCGAGGGTTCTGGGCCCTGCTGAGTCTCTCAAGCTCTAGCATCTGCTCTAGAAGTGGATTTTTTTCAATACATGAGACAGACGCTTCAGAAAACACAACTTTATTCACTAGGACTGAAAACAAAGGCTTGCGATCAACAGGCCAAGTTGAGTGCAAGGTGGAGCGTGCTGGGAAATCACAGACCTCAGCTGTGGCCAGGCTGGGCTGGCATTTGTCGTTTTCTGGCGTTTCTGTGATTTCCCACGTTTCATCACAAGGCCACAGGCATCCTCCAAGGTCACTGAGGAAAACCCTATTGCTGTTTGAGCCAGAGCCTCCTGGAGGGTGGACTGGGAGCAGGTAGCTCCCAGGACACACAGATGCACGATGTGATTAGCAGTGAAGCCCTCTGTCCCAGGCGTGGGCAGGCGACCTCCCTTACCTGCCTGAGCAGTGTGTGCGGGTGAAAACATGGCTTTTCTAGGGTTAGGCACTGTGCGTGGTGCCAGCCCCAGCCCTCCCTCACCTGGGTGTGCCCAGGAGGGGGCAGCAGAGCACCGTGGCAAAGTCTGTCCACATGCCGCGCCCCCTCCCGTGCAGAAGACTGCTTTTCCACGGTGGCCAGTGTGTGGGCCACGGGCTGTCAGAAGCCTGCTTGTTGGGACTGCTGCTGGGAGGAGGGAGGGGCAAGGCTTGACCTGGGGCTCCTGGAAACAGACACTGGTATTGGCCACTGGGCAACAAAGTCAGAAGGGCCTGGAGACTGTCCAGTCTTCTGGGGGTTGGGCGGTTTCCTCCAGAGGACTGAGCTCAGCCAGGTTCAAGGGCGGCAGCAGGAGGCCCCGCGACCCTCCCTCTTAACGTAATCGTGCAGCCGGAAGCGTGGCTCGCTGGGAGTTTTCATGGAGCGCTGCTTCAACTCCCTGCGGAGTGGGGGTGACAAGGGGACACGATGACCTGGACTCCAATAAGAGGGTTTAGGCCCTGTGCTGGGGGAGCCCTGGTGACTGGCAGGACTTACTTTGCTATGGCTGTGAAGGCCAAGTCCACGTTGAGGCCCGTCTTGGCGCTGGTCTCCATGAAGGGCAGCCCATACTCCTGTAAACAGCTGCTGCCAGCCAGGTGGTGGCCTGGCGGGGACAGCCCAGGCTCGTGGCCTCCAGGGGCAACCCCTCACCACCCCCCTGCCTTGACTCACCTTGGCCAGCTTCTCCCCGTCCTCCCTCTTCACCACACGCTCATGGGCAGAGTCCACCTGGCCCAGGCACAGGGTCTTGGTGACAGCTGGCCCATGGTTGGCCCCTGCCCCCTCACCTGCCCTGCCCTGTGACCCATGTGAGGACAACCGGGCCTCCCACCTTGTTCCCCAGCAGCATGAGCGCCACGTCGTGCTGGGCATACTCATGGATCTCGGCCAGCCAGGCCTGTGGGAGGCAGCAGACGAGGCTGGGGCTCCCTCCATGGCTTGCCCCATGCCCCAGAACTTTGGCCCTCCAGGTCACACTGTACAGGGCACTTGTCTTTATTTCATCTTTTTTTTTTTTTTTTTTTTTTTTTTTTGAGACAGTCTTCCCCTGTTGCCCAGGCTGGAGTGCAATGATGCAATCTCCATCTCCTGGGTTCAAGCTATTCTCCTCGGGTTCAGAGAACCTTGGGAGGGTTCAGCCTCCCAAGTAGCTGGGATTACAGGTATGCACCACCACACCCAACTAATTTTTTGTATCTTTGGTAGAGAAGGGGTTTCACCATGTTGGCCAGGCCAGTCTCCAACTCCTGACCTCATGGTCTGCCCACCTCGGCCTCCCAAGGTGGTGGATTACACGTGTGAGCCACCATGCCCGGCCCGTTTTATTCTTTTGAGACAGTTTTGCTCTGTCGTCCAGGCTGGAGTGCCGCGGCACAGTCTTGACTCACGGCAACCTCAGCCTCCTGAGGAGCTGGGATTACAGGTGTGTGTCACCACACCCGGCTAATTTTTGTATTTTTAGTAGAGATGGGGTTTCACCATGTTGGCCAGGCTGGTCTCAAATGCCTGACCTCGGGTGAGCCACCATGCCTGGCCAGGATACCTGTCTTTAGAAGTGATAATCCCCCGTGTATCACATAGGGAGGCCCACCTTACAGGTCCCTTATGCAAAGGGTCCTGTTGAGGGAGCTGGAATGGCACTCAGTTCCACTTGGGCCACCTCCAGCCCAGAAGGCTGTCATTTCCCTCCCCCTACTCTCAGTGGGGTCCTTTGGAACCCTGATGCCATCTACCAGAAGGAGGTTGGGGTGGGTCAGGCCGTATCAGGGTCGTTTCACCCCACCGGGAAGGCCACTGACCTGGATGTTGTCAAAGGAGGCCTTGTTGGTCACATCGTAGAGCAGCAGCAGAGCTGGGGACAGGGCAGTGAGGACATCCACCATCACCTGCACCCTCAGGTGCTCAGACCTGCCCCTGCCCCCCCAACCAGCCCGGGTACCCAGGGGCTCACCATGAGCGTCACGGTAGTAGGCATGGGTAACACTGCGGAACCGCTCCTGACCAGCTGTGTCCCACATCTGCAGCGAACAGGCACTGGTCAGGCTGTCCAGCCCCTCCCTGGCATCCCCTGTCCCCCAGCTTGCCCTCTGCCAGTCACCTTACCTGCAGCTTCACCTTCACACCATCCACGTCCAGAACTTTGTTCTGAAACAGACAGAACCAGGCAGCTCTGGCAAGGGCCGGGCCCAGCCTCTATCCCCACTAGCCTCACTACCACCCCCTCAGAGTCCCATGGCTCTCCTTCCTGCCCAGCTTCCCGTCCCCTAAGACCTCCCAGCTCCCAGGTCCAGCCCAGCCCCTGCAGGGTTCCCTTAAACCAATTTGGCCTCACCCACACCCGCAAGTGCGGGCCTCTCCCCGCAGCTCTTGTGCTGACTTATTTGAACTCATGACCCCACCAGGCCTCTTACTGACACTGCCTCGGTTTCCCCATGTGCAAATGGGTGCCAGTCACATGGCTGCTGCAGGAACTAACGAGCTGCAACGCCTCAGCCTCCCCAGTAGCTCTTTTTGCTAATTTGAAAGACTCAGGGCCGGGCGTGGTGGCTCAAGCCTGTAATCCTAGCACTTTGGGAGGCCGAGACGGGCGGATCACGAGGTCAGGAGATCGAGACCATCCTGGCTAACACGGTGAAACCCCGTCTCTACTAAAAAATACAAAAAACTAGCCGGGCGAGGTGGCGGGCGCCTGTAGTCCCAGCTACTCGGGAGGCTGAGGCAGGAGAATGGTGTAAACCCGGGAGGCGGAGCTTGCAGTGAGCTGAGAACCGGCCACTGCGCTCCAGCCTGGGCGACAGAGCGAGACTCCGTCTCAAAAAAAAAAAAAAAAAAAACTCAGGATGGCTTGAACCCAGAAGTTGGAGGCTGCAGTCCACCATGATCACCGCTGCACTCCAGTGTGGGCGACAGAGTAAGACCCTGTCTCAAAAGAATAAAACATTACAAGCCTCTTTTTGCTGGGATTGTCAGGGCTGGGCCTGGGCCTGTCGGACCCAAGGCAGTAACCATAGATCCCAGAACTGCCTGGCAGCGTCCCAGGCTGGGCCCTCCCAGTTAAGGACTAGACGTAGGCAGGGAATGGTCTGGCCCCAGTCCATCTGCTGGGGTGGGGGCGGGGGGCTTCAGTCGCAGCCTGAGGTCCGGGCCAGCTGGAACTCGTGCCACCTCCCTCAGCCTGAGCTCCTGCTGTCAGAGTGCTTCTGGGTCTCCCGGGAACCAGGCAGGGCCATCTGCTGGGCTGGGGAGGACACCGCCTTCCCTAGCACCCTGAACAAGAGTGCGAACCAAATGGCCTCACCTCTTACCACCCACCCGAGAGCCAAGAGGGAGGTGGGAAGTGGGGACCAGACAGGACTGGCCTGCCTGCCTCGGGCACTTCAGTCCTCTGTCCATCGCAGAGGACCTGAGGGGAACTGGAACTCCCAGACAGGGTAGAGAACAGCTCCCCAGACTGAGGGAGCCCTTCTTCCTGTCCCTGGGACAGCCCTCCCTCCGTCCTCCCTCTAACTGGCTGTAATTAAAGGGTGAGAAAAACGCAAACTTAAGATTTGTTGAGAATACGACAGCACCTCAGCACAGCACCTCAGCACGAGGAATTCGGGCTGGTAGTGGAGGGGGTGGCCTCACCCAAGGGCAGGGTCCTCTCCCCTAGGCAAACCCTGGAAACACCCTCGCTCAGGCTCTGCAGGGAGCACGTGCTCCTAGGGCCCGGCAAGGCCTCTGTACTGAGGCAGCACTGCTGGCCCCAAGTGGACATGCCCCTTCACTTCCTCTGACCCACCACACTGTGGGCAGCAGCGTCCACCTCCCCCAAGGCACAGGATGTGGTCCCTGGGTAATGCCAGCCCCTGGCACAGGGCAACTAACTCTGCTTGTCGGGTGCAGCCACCAGCCCAGGTGTTGGGAGGTCGAGGCGGGCAGCTTGGTGGCTAAGGCATTCCACCTGGGGTCCAGGATGCTTGAGCCTGTCAGTACCACAGGGATCACAGAGAACTTGCTGCTCAGGGGCACCGGCAGGACGTGGGGTGATGTGGGGCCGGGCCGGGGCCTCCACTCACCCGGAAGTCAATGCCTACGGTGGAGATGAACGTCCCCGCCAGGAAAGCGCCGTCCTTGAATCGCACTAGCAGACAGGTCTTCCCCACGCCCGAGTCCCCCACCAGCATGACCTAGGACAAGCAGGAGGGTCAGGGAGAGTCCGGTCTGCCCTGAGCTGACCTGGTCAGAGGGGTTGCAGGCTCAGCGGAGCCAGGGACCCTGATGGGCTGGACACCCAGCCTCTACCTCTGAAAGGCTCAGGCCGCTCTGTCCTTCTGCACAGTGGCCATCTCAGTAGGGAATGAGGGCAGCTACCTCCATCCTGGACCCTCCCTAACGTCCGTACCCCCCAACAGTGGACAGCAGGCTTCCTCTGGGAGGGAAGCAGATGGTGTGGCAGCTAGGGACCTCCTAAGAGACTTGGGGAGGCCTCTGCCGGGGGCTTCTCCACATCCCAGTAGGGACATGACCCCAGCAAGGCTCAAGAGGAATTCGCCCCATTAGGGTCAGATCTCGACCTGAGGAGGGACCTGGGCCAAGTCTGAGGATGGGAGGGGGGGTGCAGGTGGGGGGCAGTCAGGCCTTCTCCCCGAAACCTGTGCTACCAAACCTAAAGATGGTCCTCCCAGCGCCCTGCCAAGTCCACACAGCCTCTGCCTTGGTCTGGGGTCCCAGGGTTCCCCATCCATCTGGCAAACCTCTTCCC